ACGTGATCACGCTGTCGACTGCAGCGATTGGCTGATCGCATGGTTACACCGCCACGCCTTAGTTTTTTTACCTTTTGATATAGAGTTTGTAACCTTAGTAACGGAGAAAGTGAAGCAAAGGGTTACCTCAGCGAACCGTTTTGAGAAAAGTGAGTCGATTGGTAGCCTTTCCCTTGTTTTTGATTTATAACCGTTGATATTTGTGACTTTATAACCATTGTATTTAGACTTTATAATCATTGTACCTAATTAGTGTGTTTTACTCTTTTTGATTTATACCTTTTATTATTAGTATTGTATTTAACCCGTATGACGATGAGTGGCTGACGGTATCTTTGATTTATGAACGTGCAATGCCGAGAGGCATATCTCAGTTTGGGTGAAGGGATGTGTCATGAATTTGTTTTTGCGTATCTGTTAACCGACTTAATTAACTGATTATTAGCGAATTGCTGTGTTATGTTTGTCATCGTGTAGGCCTATTTGAAGTTTTGGACGGAACTTGGCTCAGTGATTTGGAACTAATTACGAGATATCCGTCGCGATTCTGACAGTTGGTATTCCATAGTTATTAATGTAGTGAACGATTAATCAAAAGATATGACGTATTCAGTACTTAGTTTGATTGGCTTTATGATTGAAGTTTACGCCTTAGAGTCTTTTTACTGTTTTGTAATTGGTTAGAGTTTTGAAAATGAATAAAGAGAGTTTGAGTTGGTCTTGGCGAATACTCCACGATAGACGCAGTCGAGGCAGTCCTGGAGAGTCGAGTCCAGTCCGAGAGAGTCCAGGGGCGACGGAGCCTTGAGGCAGTCCAGTCTTGGGCGAGTCTTGGTTCAGCCTTGCGAGAGTCTTGGGGATCTTTTCCCCAGGGCGCTGTGTCTGATAGAGTGTTCGATTGACCGACTAAGACGAGAGCTGAAACGTATTTCGTTGTGTGTGCCTTATTTGACTGTAAGGTTAAAGTGACTTTCCCGATCCCGTATCTCAAGGGGACGAGATAGAGAGACGAGACGAGATTCCCCCCGACAGAGTGGAGAACCCCGTGGAGAAGATTTTCCCCTGATATTTATACTATTGCAGTAGAACCACTTCAATCTGCATTAAATATTAAATAAGAACGATATAAATAAGAGCGATATACATGGTGTTGGATTAAATAACACGTGAATGTCATCGCTTATATGTTGATGATAGTAGCTTCTTTTTATCCAGCAGTGCGATGTTTCTAAACTTGAGAAATGACAGCAAATTTATGAAGGCACCAGCAAGGTTTATGGGTTTGGAAGTGGCGAAATAGGACTGACACACCTCTGGTATTGATTGCAATAGTAACGGCTTAACAGTCCGTGGAACATTCCTCGGAAACACACATGGATATATAGAAAACAGCCGGTATGACATTACGGAAAAGGTTAAAAAGAAACTGGATGATGGAACAAGTATGTACCAGCAATGTCGCATATAATAGTATAATAATAATAATAATAATAATAATAATAATAATAATAATAATAATAATGATAGTAATAATAATAATAATAATAATAATAATAGCAATAACAATAATAATAATAATAATAATAATAATAATAATAATAATAATAATGTATTTCGAGTACTAGCTCATATTCAAGTTGTATTGTCTCCAAAATATTATAGAAATGTATTGATGTGCTTATTTCAATGACCTATGTTAAAATCTTCCCACCTAAGTTGAAAGCGTGAAAATTTCGCTTTATTTCTCGCTCCTTCTTCCGAAAATTTCCGACCGTATCCGGACATTTGTTTATGGTTCCACATTCAACAGCTTAGGGAGCTTCATTATACAGTTGCCCGGGACACGGATTTGTGTAGCAGACGATAAGATATGGCTTCCGTAAAACAGTTGGTAAGTTTCCGTTCTGTTAACATGTTTTCTCGACGAAATTGTAGTTTGATTTAACTGTTCATTATATTAATCGGCAGTACCGCGATGGAAAAGATCTGAACGTAAAATTAAGGTTATTATAAAATTTGACTTGTCGAACGATCGCTGACGCGACTCGGTTCAGTTGTTACATTCCCTGTAAATTGTATTTCTAGGATGCTCAATCTTTATCGTGATAATGTTTTTTATATATTTCTCACAACATTTATGGCGTGGGTAATGATTATAGGCAGACACGGAGTTTTTTTTCTGGGTCTTGTACACGGGATGGTCCATTTCCGGCCCGGGATTTCCTGTCAACTTCGCCGTGAAGACGTAGTCATTTATTGAAAACGCAGTGTATTTCCGGCCTTTCACTGATCGTCGTAATTCTGGGTTAAAATAAAATTATTAAAAGTCAAGATTCAGTTTTCTTTTTGTGTGTACTTTTTGTATGAGAATCACCGCCCTGTTCCTGTTTACTAAAACTCTATGACTGCGCCGATCGAGATCATTTTTTGCATGGTGTCCGTGTTGGTAATTTTTTTTAAACGTCGAAGGCATATAACATTAGTCATGAACTGGGGATCATAGAATATAACTCTTTTCATTTTTCACTCAACTAATCATTAGTACTGCCGAAATGTTTTCAGTTGAACCATGTTTTGTATTATAGGTTTCCACATCTAACACTTGAACATTTTATTTTCAGAATTTCAGAGAAGTTAGCGACGTTCCTTTTGAACCCGGCCATTTTTTTGAGATAAACAGGCGAGGTAAGTTCAGTGTGTCCAATATTATTTTTTTTTTACCCGATACCTTCCCACCAACTTCTAGGGGTTGTATTTAAAATAGGTCAGTCAGTCTGAAAACTAGATATTATGTTTAGTGCAAGTTATTGAAAAATAATGTTTGCAAGTAATGTCCGATGTCTGTGTTTTCATTTCTTACTTTATTTTACTTTTGCAAAAGAATCTAGCAGAAACATATGAAACATAATACTGGTTCATAGCTCAAGACTGATTGATCCAACCACTGAGGTGTGAAGTGCTCATTCCAGCTGAGTTTATAACATAACTTATCTTTCACACCTCTATTTTGTACTAATGGTACACAGGATACACTATTGAAATTTTTTAATTGACTACTGTAAATGAATAAATTTTTTATTTTTACCAAAGCATAATCAATATGGTAAAATAAAAACTTTAGTTTACATGCAGGTTTTTTTGAACTCAGAAAATTATATTTTTGCCAGCATTTCTTATTTATTTCAATAATGATTATGATTTTCTACTCAACAGACTGAAGACTGATTTCATTGCCATATGGGTTAAATTTTGTTTCTCTAACGGTTCCCAGCAACTATAAATCTGATTGCTTTGTCATTTGATTAGTACATTTTCGAATTTATACACGATTCTTTTCTCCAATATTTTTTCTTGTTACTATTGAGATGACTTACAAATCAAATAACATTTATTACTCCTCCTTGCAGAAAGAGAACAGCAGCTGGTAATAGATGAAAGAGCAACAAGAGGGAGGGCATCAGGTGGAAGGAGAGGAAAGTCATGTACAGCAAGAGGAAGAAGAGGTGGAGCAACAACTAAAAGGAAGAGAGGCAAAGAGGATGATAGTGCAGTGACAGAAACAGGGGAAGAAAGTTATGGTAGAGGACGTGGAAAAAAGAGGAGTGATGGTGGAACAGAAAGAGGAAGGAGAAATGGTAGCACAGCAGCAAGAGGGAGGGGTAGGCGTAGGCGAGAACACACTGATATTGAATCCAGATACGAGAGATTATGCGAGGATCGACAACTCCATTTGTCTGT